GGGACTCTTTTGAGGCTTGGGAAGCTTCAGAAGAGTCCCAGAAGGTGGCGATTTCACCCCCTCTTGCTGAGCCTCCAAAGGGTCCTAGGGTGTGTTCCAAAAGATGGACCTCTCCATAAGGCTCACCAAATTTTTAGGAGAAGAAAACTGATTATTTTTTTCCTGTTTTCTTCTCCTAAAAATTTGGTGCGTCTTATGGAGCAAAAAATACGGCAATCTCCAGGCTTAAAAGGAAGGTACCTCAAAATGCCAGTTGCAGGGGAGTGGTATCAGGAGACAGATATCTAGTTGTCTTTGGGAACTGTTTGAAAGGAAAAGGAAATTAATAAATATTCTCAGGTCTACCTCTTTGTGTTCAAACCTTTCTCCATTGCATCTGTATAATGCCAATACAGTATTAAGTTAAGTGGCTCAGCAGATAGCCTGCTGGACATTCCCCAAGAGATGGCACTTAATACTAATATGTGAAACTTTAAAGTTTTCTGTACTGTGTGTGCAAGACAACACACTGTGTCAGAGGATGGGATCCAGACTATGTAAGTCACACTTTAGATCCATTGAATCAGCAGTAACTTGTCCCATTCATTTCACTGGGACCAAAACAAGACTTAATTTAACACAGAGAGATTGAGTGGCGAAGGACCCATCCATATCACAATCCTAGTAAGTACAAGCAGGTCTCTGTTAAGGTGATGGAGAATTGCAGTCTCAGCTATGAACTCTTTCCAAATATGCAATTGAATAAAATACAAACATGGTATTAAACTGAAGCATTTTTAGAATTTTAAGTAATTTTCAAAATCTGAACAGTGGTACTCTTGCAATAAAAATAATAATTCCAAGACAAAAGAGATTTTTTTAAAAAAGTTCTAAAGACTATTTTAAATAAAAATGTCTTTGAACATTTAGCAAAGGTGATATTACTGTATTTCATTTAGTGCAGCACATAAGAGGATGAACTACAAATCAGGAATTGTGCAATTTGACTCTGTCATGAATTGCTCTGTAGCCCTTCTTTGTCTGTCTGCTTGCTTTATGGGAATACAAATATTTGTGTAATCTTTACAACAATACCATAATGTAGGGTCAATATTTTAGAAATACCACCCAGCTTTACGAGGAGTCTGGTAGTCATTACAGATGTGAAGTCTTTTGCATACCACAAAGACAATGGTAATGTTATGTAGTATCACGGGGTGGGGGAACCCCAAGACAGCTGACATACTTTTCCAAGCATCTTTATGGAAAGTTAGCTAGCTAGTCTTCTGTGACTCTCCCAGTTACTACAGTTTCAGATTGTGACATAAGAATTGTCTTCCACACAAATGTTGCCCGCAGCCAATTGTCAGTGCTCTTCATGCAATCCAGCAGCCAGTGGAGCACAATGGGTGGCCTGTGATTATTATGATCCTCAGGTGATAGGTGGAAGATAAATTTGAAGTGTTATGCTTTGCTTTTTTTTGTGCGTATGTAGTATATTTGTCTCCCATTTGTTCATGTATGTTCCTTCCCCCCCCTCCCCCAATCATTCCTTTTGTCAGCTTGTAACATTTTATTCCAATCTGCCTTCAGGGGTGAGATGGACCTGAAAAGAGATATGTAGCTGCTGTTTAAGGAGGCATGCTATACAGTACTTGTTTACTATTGATGGAGGAAACTGGGTAGCAGCTTATAAGGCAGCAAACTGATTTCAGTCAAAATGTGGCAAAACAGCAGACGTTTCTTGGATTACAATCAGAAGTGACTGATATTTTCCAAAGTAATCACATCATATGTGGATGGCATGTCTCAGTCTTTACATAACCCAGTCACGATTGAACCATGGCTCCCAGATATTTTCATATATGAATGCTTAAATACATATACATGTGATTCCTATGGCAATCATGTCTTTCATTATACTGTATAGTGTGGAGTTATCCTGTGGCTATGTCCCAAATGGCATGGTTACACAGGACATCTTATTGGTTTTTTATGAAGAAAATATTGAATGAATGGCTTCCCCAAACGCTTCTCATTTCTGATATCAATGTGGTTAGTGTTCTGTTCCCGTTATCTTTGAGAGCGCAAAACAAAATATATCGAAAACAAATACTTTAGGAAATCTGACAATTTGGACATTTATTTCAGCATGAAACATTATTTTTAAGGCAGAGAATATGAAAATTTGAATCAAGTAATGATTTCTCTTGCTTGGATTTCTAAAGATCTTCTCCTGCTTGTCTCTTTTTCCTCCCTCCATTTCCCACGCTCTTTTTATCATTTACAGATTTTTAAAGGTACCATTATTATATCCACAAAACAATTCAGATACTGGTTTGTAATATAATAGCTGTGTAATCTTCACCTACTTCAGTTCCATCAGGACTGACCGTTTCCTTTCTCATTTTACATTCAATTTCCTCTGAATTAGATGCACTTGAAAGGAATACTGTATAATGTTTCAGTAATAAAAAAACCCCCTATTTCATTCAATTGCAGCTCCTCTGCAGTACAGCACGTAGCATTATGAAGTCCCATAACAATTTAATTTTCCTTTCTGCAGGTATAAGAAAAATCTGAAAGCAGTCTATATTGTACATCCAACCAACTTTATAAAAATTATTTGGAAAATTTTTAAACCCCTGATCAGGTAAGAATTGGTTTGCTGAAGACCGTCTTTGTTTAGATACTGGCCAGTTCACTTTTTTGTGGTTGTTAAGTAGATTTGTAGAAACATACGTATTACAGAAAAGATAAACTAAGAACACAGGGGAACCTCTTAATGAAATGTATTACTGGAGGTGAGGACCTTGCATGGGTATGTGAAAAATTTTTGTTGTTGTTTAATTCCATTTCTTGCTTTCTACTGTCCTCTGAGATCTCATTCTACTGATGTTAAGAGACTGTTTATCCTACATTCCTTATTGTCTAGTCCTAACCATGTTTGTGTAGGAGCACATTTGTGCCAGTTCGATAGGGAATTATTCTCTTGGAATTTTTATTGGGATTGCAGTCATAGAACAAAAACCCTCAGAGCAGAGACCATACTAACATTGAGTAACACTGAGACCTGATGTAACACTTTGGCTAGGAGACTAAAGGTGTGTCTGCATTATACAATTACATCAGTTAGATGCCACTTTAACTGGTATGGATCCATCCTAAGGGATCCTGAGATCTATAGTTCTAGTTTGGGACTCTGGATTTTGTGTTTTACTTTGGGGAAGTGCATTAGAACTCTCTAGCAGATAATTCTAAATACCTTACCGGATTCTAGATCCCAGGGTTGCATAGGATTAAGCCACAACAGATAAAGTGGTATCAAGCAGATGTGACTGTCTAATGCTGTTATGTAGTTCAGGGAATCTCTGACTTGAATCTCATATCTGGCATAGCCCACTGGCTCAGTGTAGTTCAGGCACTGTTCTGTTATCCTCAGATTCCATCAGGAGCATAAGAATAGTGATACTAAACTTACAGGGAATATTGAAAAGACTGTCCAAGTAAAGACTGTGAAGTCATCTGAACATCCTAAAATGCTGTATAAATAGAATTATATTGATTATTGACTTTCACACTTTGGGCATCAGTATTTTGAATGAGGCTGTGTGCTGGGCTGGTTGATCACGTGGTGGGGTTTCCATGCTGAGCTGTTGTCCTATTAGTGTCAATAGGAAGTATTGATTCCTTTTTTTGGATTCCAGTAGTATCAGTTACTGCAAGTGCCTGGCCCTCGGCTTAGTCTATGGTATACGTCCAATTCTCAGCATGGCAACAGCAGAGGGATAGAAAAACATCCCTAATTCCTATGGGCTCACACACTTTACAGCTCACTATTGAGCTCACTATTGGTTTTCAGTGTGTGCAGACACAGTGGCTTCCCTGAGCAAACAAACTCATGTTTCCTTCTCACACCTTAGAATAAGCCTACGTACTACCTTTCATATTGATAGATTTGTCTTAACTGCATGCCTAAAGCATTCATATTTGTATACAGTTTTATCTGGGTGGAATATATGGAAAGTTTCCCATATATTTTAGGATTTCCTTTTGCTTTTCTCCTTGTGATGACAGCACCTTCCAGAAGGAAACCATAGAGCAATAGGATGCACACACTCCAGTATTGCTGGGGAGTTTAACATTTCATATTGTTTTTATAGTACTTTTCCTGAGTTTTTAAGCTCTTTGCATACTTTATCTCAGAAACAGTCTTGAAAAGTAAGACATCGTTACCTCTTTTGTACAACTGAGGCTAAAAGAAGAATCATTAGTTTTCAGCTGTGTAGTAAATTCTTAGCTTCTGGAACCTCATGTGCCTAAAAAATAGGAAACACCTCTTTTCTTCTGCTTTAAGTGGGACAGGCTCAAAGAATTAGGAAATTCTTGACGGTTGGACACCATTTGCAACAGTAGTTATTAACAGAATGTTTTCATCCTGCCCAGTCTTAATGTCAGGGAGATAGGCAAAAAGTTCTTATTCTGTTGCATATGAAAAAGATAAGTGAAACTAGGAAATACCTTGTGACATCTTAGGTATGTGTCACTGTTAGGGAAGCAGATTTCTCATAACAGAAATTCCTCCTCAGGCAAACAGTAAATTATCTGTGTTGTAAAGAGATATGCATGGGCCCCTGCCCTGCTCCGGGCCTGAATAAAGGGCAAACTGATCAGGGCCAGTCCACTGTGTGCTCTTTTCATGATACTCCGACCCAGTGTTTGTGCAGTTCCACAATAGTGTACAGGTGTTTGTCCCGGCCATAGAAGTCACACACCAGGGAAAGGGCAAGGCAGTGGGGTTGGGCACTGAAAGGCTCACCGAAACAAACAAGCAGGTCAGGGAGATACAGAGTGACAGTCCAATATCAGTCCAAATGTCAAAGCAAGATCAATAGCTACTACAACCCAGAAGTAAGAGACAAAAGCATAGTCCAAATAGTCCAAGAATCAGAAATCTGAAGTAGGAGTCCAGACGCACAGGAAAGAGGTATAAGAACGAGAGGACATGTTGCCTCCAGTTGCTTGAAGTCTCAACTGAGGTTCTTTTATAGCTACCTTGGTGGAGTTCTACCTAGCAGTCAACTGCAAATGTTTGGGCAGCAAGGGGAAGAAACCAGTGACAAGATTTGGCCCCTGGGTCTCCTTGGAAGGAAAACCCAATTCCTGAGGAGATCCCTGACTCCTGAAGAGGTTCTTTCTCCCAAGGAGTCTTCTGCCACAGCTGAGCACTCCACCTTGGTGCTTCAATCCAGGCTCAAGCCTTCAGTTTTCCTCATTCCCATGGGCTGGGTTGCGATCCCTCTCTCCTTAGTGGCTGCACTTTTGTCTTTCACAGGTTCAGACTCCTTTCTCTCTGAGGGTGCAAGTTCTGCAAGACTGTACAATTCTTCTTCTTTGCTGGGTTAGGTTTGTCCTCACCGGAGAACTCCTCTAACAGGGACATGATGATTCAATTGAACGGGAAAATAAAAATGCCAAGGTCAGGTCATAGATTGAATGGTGCAGGTTGGACAGAAGAGCACCAGCAGTGGTCCATGGAGCTGGGGATTCTGTATTGTTTTTATTTCTTCTGGGGATTTTTTTTCAACACCAGAAGAAAGCCCCAGTTGACTTTCAGAGGCAACCATTGGGAAGGGAAGAAGCAGGGAGAGACTTTATAGGGGCAACAAGGATGGTTGTCTTTTAGTCCTCTTTGAAGAGGCAGTTCAGGAAGCCTGTTTCCAACCTTTCTCTTCTCTTCTCTTCTTCCCTGTCATGTGAATTTGAAATTAGTGGAGCTGTGGCCATAGAACTTTGATGAACTAATGAATGATTGTCTACCAAAAAAAGACATGGGACATTCATTGTTGAAGCAAAGAGCCTCCTCTCCTTTGTGTTACTTGATTTTCCTTTCTTTACCCCCCTTTTTTAAATCATTGTGTGTGAATGGGGATCTAATGCTGCTCTTCCCCATTAGTGCATCTGGCTCTTTGCTTCAAACCATGACTGCTTCCAGAATGCACAAATACTCTGATTTTGTTCATAATTTACAAATTTGTTTGAAGGTAGTGCACATCCCTAATTAAGTTCTCAAAAGCACTGCTTTTGTAGTAACACAATCTAATTTTTTTTTGAATTTGTTATTTAGCTGCCATAAATGCTTAATGTATTACAGAAGAATATGCCAGAAGGCCTATGTAAGTTTGTACACAATGATGATCAGGTGTGTTCATTTGATAAAGTTGTTTTCTTTCTAGCAGAAACTAGCTATTTTGGTTAATCAATTCCTTTTAAATAAGGAATAGATTTTTCTTTAATTCATGCTATTGTCCACTAGAGGGAGCGTGTGTATATATAGTTCGGTTTGGAGGTGCTACTCTGAGCATAATGAGATTGTCCTATCAGATTTAAACTGCAAAAACGGGGAATAATGTTCAGATTCTGTTTTTATCTTAATCTCTATCTATTCTGGTTCAAGGTAGTATTTGCTTCGATTTATGTAGTCACGTTTTCCTGGTAACTTATGGCCGATGTAGCCAAGAGAACCATGAGTAAGATTTTAAAATATATATATTTTTACTCTGAATTAAGAAAGTGAAATTAGTGCTTATATATCACAAGGCGGGGAGGGCAATGTACATTAAATAGTAGAGCTTTGTAACATATTTTCATTTCCCCCCATCTGAGCATTTCAAACGTAGGGGCATAAATACAGTATTTTCCCAAAATACACACTATGTGAATATTCAATTCCCGCCCCCCACAGTCTTTTCTGATAACATTGTTTCCCCATTTTCTCCCCCTTCAGTGCTACTTTCCCTGTTACATCCCCTGGATTAAATCACATGAGGGACAAAGGCTCTAACTCTTTGGCCAATCAGAATAGGCTATGTAATGGAGTCACTATATACAAATTAAGCTAAATTAATTTGGAAGTGGAGAGTAGGAAAAGGCAGTGAAATCAAATACATCAGTAGTTCCTCAGACTGTGCTGAAAATTTCAAAAAGGGAGGCTTTTTGACACTTGCTAAATGTTTCACCCCCAACACAATGACTTAAGTTCATCCGTAGTGAATACTGAATGAGAGTCTTCCGACGTGGGAGAGGGAAGAATGAGTTGTGTACAACATTTTTTTTTAGTGCATGGTCAAACTGAGTAGTATGCTCTCGATAATAATGTCTAACAATGTCTGGCTGGACAAGTAGGGGTATGGGGGAGTGTGAATAATGTTATTTCTGTCCACTCAAGAGTTGCCTCCCAGAGTCCAGGTAGTGTTTATATAGGAAAGAAACACATAATTCACCCTGACCATATCAATCTTATATACAGTACATACATCATCAAAGAAAGAAGGGAACAAACAGCAGGAAGGCAGTTTGTATTCTCTTGTAAGAATGATGAATTGGGCTGATCAGACCTGTTATCCTGTGGTTTAATATTTTGTACAAAACAAGACACAAATTGCTTTGTCACCAATTTAGCTTTAGAAGTGGTGTGGGAGAGCTAACTATGGGCACAATTTTTTAAAAGAGTACACTGTATTGTTTAATGCTGCATTAGAATTGTGGAGTTGGTGTCCACAGGTATGCAAATAACAGCTGCATTCAAAGGGAATGTAGTCATTTTTATTCAGATTGGACTTAATGGATGGTTTGAGTTTTATCTCATGAAAATAAAGGGATTCAGTGTCACAGCTACTTCAACCATTTTCCAATTTTATGCCATATTGATACTTAGATTGTGTAATATGAAGAAAACTTTTCAAGATATATTCTCAAACTGTTAATTTTTGTATAAATTTCCATGTATTTTTAGCCACAAGTTTGGGAAGAAGGTCGTTTATCTGAATTATTTAAGTGACTTGAGAGCCCATCTTAAATATGACCAGCTTAACATCCCTGAAGAAGTTATCCGGTATGTGAGGCATTGAAAATAATTCTTGCAGTAGTTCATAGGTGATCATACATTAATGTGTTTTCTTTTTATTTATTTATTTATTGAATCTTTTTTAAAAAAATTACACCAGATTTAATGTATTCGTGAAGGCTTTCACGGCTAGGATCTAATGGTTGTTGTGGGTTTTTCGGGCTCTTTGGCCATGTTCTGAAGGTAGTTCTTCCTAACGTTTCCCCAGTCTCTGTAGCCAGCATCTCAGCTCCCAAACAAACTGCACCAGAGCACAGAATGCTGTCCTCTGAAGATGCCGGCCACAGAGACTGGCGAAACCTTAGAAAGGACAACCTTCGGAACATGGCCAAAGAGCCCGAAAAATCCACAACAACTACTACACCAGATTTCTAGTCAATTAAAATCCCAGTGTGCTTGATTTGTATTTGGCTACATTTGTTGCATTGTCTGCGCTAATAATGGCCTAGTGTTTGAATTCTTAACCACCGGTAAAAGTAAATGAGTACCTGCAGAGGCTACAATATCAGCATCAGAACAGTATATGTATGGACCACTCTCCTAGGTTTCATATATTGCAAGCTGCTTAAATGAGATGTTTTCCTGCCAAAGATATTGTTAAAGCTGTAGTTAATCCAGGCTTGAGAAAATTCTGCAATCCAAATTCTGCATCAAAGAAAAATTGAAATATGCAGTCTGATCCAGTTTGGTAGGGTGAGAAAATACACTTTTTCTGCATACATAGTGTTGATCATGAGCTCAAAATAAGTCCCTTGTTTTTATGTGCCATCAAGTTGGAACCAAATTATAGTTACTTTAATAGGGCTTTCAAGGTAAATGATAGTTAAGAAGTTCCACACCCCTAGTTGAGTTTCCTTATCTGAACACAAATATGAACCCAGAGTTCTTCTTCATGGTCTTTGTGAATGCACATTAATGGGTTAATCCACGCTTGTGTGGAGCAGACTCGGAACTTTCTAGCTCGAGCACATGGTGCCGGGACCTCTCCCACGCTGGCTATAATTCTGCCCCTGGCACCGGTTGCCTCAGTTCCTTTTCGAGCGCTGCTGTTGCAGCTTCGTTTGGAACTCTGTGCGCTCAGTAAATCAAACAAAGTTACCTTTCCCTCTATTTTCTTGGACCTCCCTGGCTTGATCCTGGAATAAATCAAAAAAGTTACCTTTCCCTCCCAAACTTACCTTTCTTGGACCTCCCTGGCTTGATCCTGGACCGTCCTGTTCTTTACTTTGAGTTTATGGCCTTGCTGGGCCTCTTCAAGAGGTGCGAGGTCTGCTCAAACAAGATTCCCCTCTCTGATGGGCACTCCCGTTGTTTATTTTGTCTCAGGAAAGAACATCAGCCAACCAGTGCAACCTTTGTAAGAAATTTACTAAGCCGGCTCTCCAACACCTCAAGTCCTTTTTTTGGGAAAAGTCCCTTTCACTATTTCAAAGTGCCTCTATGGATTCTCCCAAGACTCTGCAATCATCTCTGGCAGCTTTGCCCAAAGTTGCAGCTCAAAAGGCGGTGAAAATGGCACCTAAACCAAAATCGCCCTCGAGTTCGAGGTTGACGGCCACAGCATCAACACCAATGCAATCTTTGACATTGAGTTCGAAAAAGAAAAAGAAACCCCCAAAGCCTGCTAAAAGTGCAGAAGCATCGACACCAAGGCCGGAAATATCCCAGCAACATTCGGAGAGCCTGAGTGTACCCTCGGGGGAGGAAAATGTACCCCTACAGCTGCCGCTGCCATCCCCTTCTGTCAGTGATATTCCTGACTGGGGTAACACCTCTCTGGAGGTTGTTGATTTGGCACAGGCTAGCCCACGTTCTTCGTTGGGCTCGTTAACGCAGCAACTTGTGGCCTCGCCGCCGGCTCCAACTGAGGTTCCTCGTAAGAAAGTCCATAAATCTCGACATCTGGAGCTGCCTAAGCAACTGGATCCGTATAGCTGGCAGTGAAGCCAAGGGGGTTCCCTGCTTGATGAAGCCAATAGCACAGTATTGACTACCCACCGACGTATGGGGCGGAGGACTTTGAACAGGACCTACCTTTTCATCCAGGACTCTATCAATATGACCCTTACTGTCGATATTGGCACTATGAGCCTTATGCTAAGCCCTCCTTGCCGACTGCACCTCACTATCGCGGATGGTGCGAGATCACACCCGAGGCTGAAGAAGACTATTTTCCCCTGCCTCCTTCTCGGCCTTGCAAGAGGCACTTGCCGCCAACCTCTGCTGCCATCGAAGGTCCCAAACGATCTTGGCTAGCATCTGACCAGGAAGTCAGCCGTGCAGGCTATGATTATCCTGCAGTTGGACCCAAGGCAAGATTAGCTCGACCTCGAGCTGGAGAAGACTTACCCCCAGCTCCAATAGAGGAAGCACCTAATTCCCCCTCTAACGATTGGGACTCCAACTCACATGTGTCAGAGGGAGAGGAGGACTTGCCGACAAACATTCCTTCTCCTGTGTTGGACGTGGCAGACACCCATCCCCCGTTGCCATCAGAGGTCTACTCCTCCTATTCCCACCTCATTCACTGAATAGTGAAAGTCCTCAAGATTGAAGTCGAGGTGCCTGCAGTCAAAAAGACAGATAAGGTGTATGAGGACATCATTCAATAACAAACTCCTCCGGTGTGCCTTGGATTCATACCCTCCCTCTCTGAACTCATGAGAGAGTCATGGATTAAGCCTTCCACCTCCTATCAGATTCTGAGGAGGGTCGAGAATCTGTATAAGATGTATGTTACTGATACGGATTGCCTCTTAAAGCACCCTTAACCAATGACTCTCCTCAAAAACAAACTCCTCCGGTGTGCCTTGAATTCATATCCTCCCTCTCTGAACTCATGAGAGAATCATGGATTAAGCCTTCCACCTCCTATCAGATTCTGAGTAGGGTTGAGAATCTGTATAAGATGTATGTTACTGATACGGATTGCCTCTTAAAGCACCCTTAACCAATGACTCTTTGTCACCTTTGCTGGCCCCTCTATGGGTGTACCAGCTTCCTCTCAGACCATCTCTAGATGGATTGTGCAGACCATCCGCTTTGCCTATAATTTGGCTGACACTCCTCTTCCAGGTCCAGTCAGAGCTCACTCTACAAAAGCTGTAGCGTCCTCGACGGTCTTTCTCTGCGGGTTTGACATTGCAGACATCTGCCAAGCTGCCACATGGGCCACTCCGTCAACCTTTGTCTCCCACTACTGCCTAGATACTAAAGCTGAGGCTGTGGTGGGTTGAGCTGTCCTGGCTTCTGCAGTATCATGACATCCCTCCTCCGGGTAAGTGAGCTTGCTAGTCACCCATTAGTGTGCATTCAGAGACCATGAAGAAGAAAAAGAGGTTACCTACCTGTAACTCTGTTTCTTCAAGTGGTCATCTGTGAATTCACACTCCCCACCCTTCCTCCCCGCTGTCCGTCACGTGTGCCATTGCATGCTGTGCAGTGGCGGACAGTTCCACGGACCTGAGGCAACCGGTGCCGGGGGCAGAGTTATAGCCAGCGTGGGGGAGGTCCCAGCACCATGTGCTTGAGCTAGAAAGTTCCGAGGCTGCTCCACACAAGTGTGGATTAACCCATTAGAGTTAGAACTAGTCGGATGCTTTTTTTAAAAAATTCTATAATTAAGAATGCATTTTTTGGGGGGAGGTCCCGCACCATGTGCTTGAGCTACAAATTTCTGAGGCTGCTCCGCACGTATGGATTAACCCATTAGTGTTAGAACTAGTCGGATGCTTTTTAAAAAAAATTCTATAATTAAGAATGCATTTTTGGTTTTTTAGTACTCTGTAGACTAGTATGTGTTAACGACATATTGCCAGTGCTTTTTATGTAATGTTTATGTCTCTACAAAAAGGCTCTTAATATATTAATAGCTGAATGTTCCAAAAGCAGTTCCATTTGCAGCTATTGTTAATTTTTTTAAAAACTGTATGCATCTGCAGTTAAGGGAAGTAGATATAAAGTGCTTCTTCTGGCAGTGGTTTACAAAGAAGTGCTTCAGTCTGCTGACAGAAAGTGGGCTTCATCAATGTTTTATAAGCACGTTTCTGAGCATTTCATTAGGAACGTTAATGTTGACTTCTGGATTTTTGTACAGCATTGCATAAAAATGTAATAATCAAAACCTTATAGGTGCCTTTGTACAGTAGTTAATAAATAGCAGCTTGTGGTTTGGGTTCTCATCGCCCTTAGTGTTACAGCATGGTTGGATGGTAGGTACATAGGAAAATGTAGCACCGAGTTATGGGAAATGGAAGCCTTTCATTAACCTTCCTTCAATCTACATGGTCTAATGTCAGAAGGTAGAGTAGAAGAGTCTTAGGATTAGCAGTCACAACTTCCATGGGATTGCACATTCTGTGGCAGCATTGGGTAGTACTGGTCACTTTTTTGTTTTTTGTTTTGTTTTGTTTTGTTTTTGTTTTTTGGTAGATTTTAACACCAGCAGTGGGGGATACTCACATTTGGTATGTATTATATACTAGGAGTGAGAAACTTTTGTCTCTCCAGCTTTTGCTTTGTTTTATTTGGATCAAAGGTCCCATATTCCCTTAGTATTTGACACGTGGTCTGAGGTTTCTGAACTTTGAAGTCCAAA